ATACCACTTCTCCATAGTGGCTATGCCCTCGTTCGCTATGTTCTTCGCTAATGTTTTTTACTACATTTTTTATAATTTTTTATTAATAAGTAGTTTTTTCTTCGGAAAAACTACGTCAAAACTACATTTGCAAATATTTTTGCCATTTCAAGAGTTTTTTTCTCAAAATCTGGAAGTGCTAGAACAATTTTGTAAATGCACTTCCAATCAGAATCAAAAAATCTATAAGATGAGGTCGGCTCGTTTTTGGGATAAAATATGACGAAATTTTGTTGAACCGTGTTATTAGTCGTCAAATTTGTTGTGGTTGAAAAGTTATCGCTTTCATCTGAGATTATTTTATAATTACAGATTAATGAGAGACAAGTTTTGTCTGGCTAATCACTTCTAAGAACAGATTAGGGAGTTAAGCCCGAAAATGATGATAATTTACTTATATGTATGTGAACCTAGTATAAGATACTTATTAGTAGATTTATCGCTGACCCTACCCAGAAATAAATTTTGATTGTTAAAAGTTTTGTTTTTTAACACTTATATATGTAAGTAAATGGATTTATAAGAAATATTTCTGTTCCCAGGCACTTGATTAACAAGTGGCTTTCAATGCAGCTGACCCTCTAATTTTCGCCCAAAACAAAACGATTTATTGTAATTGCAAAAAAAGCAAACATGTACTTTCAACCTAATCGCGCCTGAAAAGCCACTCATTATTTTGCAATTTTAGCGCAAAATGAGAAATTCAAAATGAAATATTGTTGCAAGCATTAATGAACACTCAAAATGTCAACGCAGTGAAGTGGGCAAAAGTTGCATTGAAATGGAAAGGGAAATTTCAATTTGAATCGCTCAAACTGCAAGATATACCCACTCGACCGTAAAAGCTCAAATAAAATGAAAAATGGAACAAAAAATAAAAATTTGCATGATTGCGGTCAATTAAAGTGCCATTATTTGTTGGTTTAAAATTGTTTGTTGTTTTACTAATGCAAATATTTCGTTGTACAGTTTCGTATTACTTGCTGCAATTATATTTATGTATGTGTGTATGTTTTAAAGTATGTATACATAATTAACAAGTTTTCAGTCAACTAAAACATTTCACCCCAGGCAAGAGGATTTTCGCTTCCACCAATGCAATGCAATGAACTTGAAAATTGAAATGGAAAATGGAAAATGGATGTGAAAATAACGAATTAGCGGCAAGGATATGCAAAAACCGCTCGAGAAATGTACAAAATGACTGAGATTTGATTGCTTATAATAGCAATTACAAAAGTGAAGAGCAGCCTTATCATGAGTTTCGCCCGCAAATAAATAACCCAGATTTTTTTACAGCCCTAGCACTGCTTTCGCGAATTTTTAGAATTTTGTCTGTCTGTCTGTATGTTTGTGCGCGCATCACTCGAAAACTAATGCAAAAGATTGAATGGAGTTTTCACCTATGTATTGCTTGAGGTCTAACTTAAAATATAGAAAGAAAAAAATTTCGAGAGTTGCCACCTCTTTGAAAATTGCAGTTTAACTAAGTTGACAAGATAAAGTAAATATTGCGATATGCCTGTCAAAATAAAGGCTTACAGCCGAAAGATTTTCGTTTAAGGTTGCCACCTGCTTGGAAATTTTAATTTAATTTAATTGATAAGGTAAGTTGAATATTGCAATGTGGGTATCCAACTGAAGAAGTTTAGGAAAGTTTACTGGCGGGAATATGTTTGAGCAGGGTTGCCACCTGTTTGAAAAATTTAATTCAATAAATTGATAATAATAATGTGTGCGCTTACACATATCGCACACCTAGATCTAAAGTGAGCTAACTCAAAATTCATAGAGGGAAACTTAACTGCTTGTGGATCGTACAGATTCAACGCAATTAATACAAAAAAAAACGGGCATAAGAGTAGTTTTTGGCCCAATTGCCCAATTTTTTTTTTGGAGTTGATTACACCTTAGATCTAGGTGCGCGATATGTCAGTGTTTGGACGAGCTTCTCCCTCGATTTGTCTTCTACGCCCTAAATACAAGTCAAAAGTTATTTGGAATTTTACCAATTTAACTTTAGTTTTGTGTTTAGCGAAATACATACAAGAACCGATACAA